TTTAGACTCTAGGGCTGCATGGGAAGCACTTTATACTTTGAGGTACTAATCCATTGAGCAACGCTTCTTAAAAAATCAGAAGATTGATCTTTGGGACTAATAATATTATCCATTTTTTGTGATAGACGTTTTCACTTAGGACAGCTTGGAGCCCCCTGTAGTGAGCACCACTTCTCTCAGCTTAAAAGTTCTCTTTACTGTTGCCAAAGTCCAAAAAATGGGCTCAAAGCTGAAAATTAGTGAGGAGGTCAAAAATGAAAAAAGGAATATAGACTACTTTATTGTGTTAGAAAGCGTCAATAATCATAGGGCGTGTGGGGACATGGTGCCTTAGGGACCTTCGTGGTCCCATGAGTCAGGATCTTTTACCACCTTCAAGATCGACCACCTGGATGGTGACCTCAATGTACTATGACTTCCTTGTGACTGCAGCGGTGGGGGAAGCGCCTCTCATGATTTGGAAAGTGGGGACGGGATTCCTGAAGGGTTTCCATCAATTCTTATATGCGCGATGCTTCCTGATCAAATCTGGTTTCAGTTCCTTCAGAATAGAGTTCTGTTCACGCTGGTTTAATAGTTGACTAGTTGAGGCTCAATTTGGGAGAATAAATTTTTGGCTCTCTTGTCCTCTCAAAATTGTGACAGTAGTGGTGCATACAGATCATAAATTACTTGCTTTCTACTGTAAGTCACAGGAGTTGGCGCACAGACAGATTTTGACTTCCTGAATCACCCTGTTTTGACTTTTAAAATGAAGGATTTTTCAAGGGTATCACCCACATATTACTGGATATCCTTAGCTATAATCGTTTATTGTTCCAAATCTTAGAAAAGAATCCGAGTTAGTCACAGTGATACCACCTAAGATTGTGATCCTGCTACCGCACCATTGCCACAGTTGCTCTTTCCCCAATGAGACCCAATCAAACCCCAGGTTGCCACCTTTCTTGTTATTCTGCCACTATTTCCACGTTTGTTGGTAAAAAATTCCATACAAACCCACCCCTATACCACCTGAAATTAAAGGCCCAATCCTTAATGCGGTGTTATCTTTCCTATATTCTTATCCTAAATGCCTCTATATCCTAACATGATTACTGCTCAAAACTACTTCTGGATGGTAATCAAAAAAGTATAGGGTAATATATTATGAGTTTCATTCTTGGTTCCTTCTGGTCTGCATTCCCGTTCTATAAAGGGAGATTGTGATCTCCTCACTATAGGCCACCTAATCTTTACAAAGTGTGTCAATTTGGTCAAACATGGATATGATTGGAATTGACTCACAAAAGATGTTCCTTCTTGGAAGAGAGGCTCTTTATTGCGCTTACTCTAAATATGCTAGGACTGGTTATAATGTGTTTCTATACCCACTTCAACAAGCCGCAGGTCCTTGGGCCTCACTCTTGGTGAACTTCATTATGCGTTTACCAGTGCCTTGGTGTTATGACGCGATTATGATGGTCTTAAATAAATTAATAAAATATGCCACAATCATCTCTTGTTTGACAATGACACAACAGAAGAAATGACTCAGCTGTTTGTATCACATGTATTTACAATTTTTGGAGTGTTGTTAGTTGTGATCAGTTGTAAAGTGCCTCAGTTTTACTCAAGGTTTTGGGATAATCTGTGCAACATGATGAAGATCAAGGCATGTAGATTTTCAGCATATAATCCTCAATCTGATGGCCAAAGTGAACAGACAAACTAGTCATTGGAGCAGTAGCTCTTCTGCTAAGCTACTGAATCTTAATATACATGGGCAGCTGACCTCCCTCTAGAACAATTTCCAAATATAACTCCATCTAATCATTAACAGATATATTGCCGATGTACGCCAACCTGAGGTAAAACCATGTCTTCACTGTTGGCCCCTAGATAATTAGCAACTTTAGTATCACACAATTTAATTGCATATGCTGAAAGTTCATAAACAGTTTTAGCCTCAGTTAACCAATCAACTATTAACGTCAAAAGTTTTTCTGATAAGAAGCGTTATGCAGCCCATGGCTACCAAGTTTGAGACTTAGTAACGGTGGACATCATGAATCTTCACCTCAAGGTTCCATGTTATTAATTGTCTTGCAAATGAGCTGTGCCCTTTCCAGTCAGCCAAGTCTTGAAAAATGGGTCCTTCCAAATAGATTTTCCAACACAGTATATAATCCATAATTCCTTTCAAACTTCCTCCTTATTCACCTCTGGAGAACTGAACCTCTCCCCCTTTAAAGGACAGAAGCCTGTTGAGGTAGATTGCATCATGGATGGTGCGCTTGAATTCTGAAGTGGACCATATCTTGAACTCACTTTTAGTCAAACGTTGGTTTCATTATTTAGTACTATGGAAATGGCAACATCTTATAAAAACAGCTTAGTTCCCTCCAAGGATTGTGCAAACTGTTAGAAGTTGTATGCAGAATTTTCATAAGGACAACTCTAAGGCACCATTACTTTCCTCACCCAAGATAGAAGCCATTGCAACAATTAAGATGCTTACTCCACGAAAACTATGCACTAGTAAAGTCCAAAAGGGGAGGGATAGAACCTATTATTTAAGGTAAGGGTAATGTAAGGCCCACAACTGCTGCAAATAAAAATGGACTGGTACATACATTCTTTCAGGAAAAAATAGGCTCAAACCATAGGACCCTGCCTCTTAACCACATTTAAGACCTAGGGCACATCCTAGATGAGAAATGGGTAGCTGCTCCTCATCCTAACTTACCATGTTCAACCCTCAACTTAATTTCAAGCCCAAACTTATACTAGTTTCTGTTTCTGAAAAGTATAATATAAAAGATTAACCAACTTTTTTAAATTCTATAGATTTTAGCAAACTCAACGCAACATTTATGGTTTTACTCCAAACAGGCGGTTTAATCAGGAGTCATTTTATATGTAGAAAATCTGACACATTAGGAAAACCTCAGGTGAAAATAAACTATCAAAAAATCAATATAAAGCAAAAAGTAAGATAAAAAAGTTCATAAAATGGTGATTAATCCTTTTATCAAATTTCATTGTTCCAAAGCAAATTTTGACATTCAAAACTTACCCAAAACGTTTCAATAATAGCGCAGGAGTCTTGGCCAATATTGTAACTATGAAGATTGATCAAAACCGATAGGTAAACCTTATTGAATCATGAATCAGCGTTCAAAAGCAGTAATGCTGTTTTTGAGAATAGAGCTCCTTTTCATACTATTGAACTTAACCTTAGATGCCTTCCCCTCCCTGTCCAAACGTAAATCCCAGCACCTTGTTAATGGTACGGTGTTGGGTTATATTTATCTCTTTGCTATATAAGCCCTTTTCTGAAAATATTAAGTTTTAAGTATTTTTTATTAGATTTCTACTTTTTTATGAAATGGTAAAGTTAGTATCCTTGGAAGGCTCCCACTTGATAGGCCATTAAGAAGAGATATTAGTGGAAGAAAGTCAATTTTAAGTTATCAAGAGGTTTGTCACTACAGCAACAAAACCCAACTTCAGAACTGCCAGTATTTCTTAAACTACAAACTCCCTCTCCCATCCCTTTCAACTCAAAATCTCCTGGTAGGGCTCCTCTTGGTAGCCTGCACATGATATTGTGGTTACTTAGGCACAATCATTTCAATCCAGCTTTCTTTGGAGCATCGCTATTTTAACATAAACTCCAAAAAATCATAATAATGCGGGTTTAACTGCATATAGTTACTTTTATCAATTTGCTAATAATCAAGCATAAGTGAATCTACTGGATATAAGCAAAGTAAAATCTAACTCAATCTAATACCTAATAAAAAATATAAGTTAGACAGAACTAAGTAATACACTAACATTTAATTACATATTTAGATTAATACCTATCAAATTCACCTATATGGAATGACTGATTTCTGTGTCTAGCAGCCTACATATGCCATAGACAGGAGAAAACTTTACCAATATAGGTTTTATAGGCTATGTTGCAATTATAAAAGTCTCTAAGTTACCTGTACTTATCATTAAAATAAAAAGATTTGCAATTAAAACCAAACCTTAACCAAAAGGATGTCCAACAATTTAGAATACTTAAGCATGTGAATTATACCAATAACAATGATATTTAATATTCATGAAACCGTTAGATATGGGCAATGGCAGTGGTTAAGCGCATAAAACAGAAAATTATAGAATCTAGTAATCAAAGGGTTAACAATTTCTAAATTATATCTCACCTTGTCTACTTAGTCCTTATGTTTCTTAATCAAGCAAGAATGTAGAGGCAGGCTACATATCTTATAGGATATGACAATTTTTTTAAAAGTGTATTGCTGGCATTATTTATATACTTTTGAAATCTAGTAATTACGTAGTATTTGTACCTATGGTGTTCAGTGTACTGATGAGTAGCACAGAACTTTAAGGGGTTTTAGCTTAAAATTACTTTTATAAGAATAGTTTTAAATTGGGTATCTATGCAGAAGATACAAATTTAAACTTATGGCTAGAAACAAAATAGTCAATCCCATATGAAGGAAAGTTTGGAATGAATAATCAAATATCTAAATCTGGAATTTTCAGGATAATTAATCAAATATGAATTGATAATTTTGAGAGAAAGAATTAACTATTTTAATTTGAAAATTTGGGATTAATAAGCAAAAGTTAGATATATTTTTATGATAAATAATTAAATAAATGTATTAAATTTTTTTATTAAACCAATTTATACAGAGGATGGACTTAAACAAATGAAATAAAGAAAACATCAACATGGAACCTGAGCAGGGTCAAACAAGGTGCAGAAATATTCATGTTTTCTCCAAAAAAACCAAATCTCAACAATTGCAGGTGCCTGGAGCAGTAGAAATGGAAGTAGTGAGTTGTCTTTAGGATGGCTTTATTGATCAGAATTGCTGGAAAGGGGTGATGACATAGCACTTTTGCTTCTTCAGGGTCTGGTTTCTATGCACTATCCTGGGCTACATTATTAATTATCATAAATATACAAAGAGTTAAAACCATATAATAAATCAGGGGTGGAAGGCAAGTCGGTAGAGCATATGGCTACCAACCTGAAGGTTGTGGGTTCAATTCCCACCCTTTGCACATTGATTAATGTGCCAGCCAAAGGAAGCTATTGGCGGTTAGTAGGTCTAATAACACGAAAACCTTACCCATGACATAACCAGAAAAATTTGAGTCCCAATATGGAGGTGGAAAAACTTTCTTCAATGGAGTTGACCCTGTTCTGAAATCATGTCATTTTTTTCTTTCTTTCAGTAATGCCTGTCCCCTGGTCAGCTTGCCTCAGTTAAATAAAATAAAACTATATAAAAATCACTTGGGAAAATATACAATTCTTTTTATTTTTTAAAGCTGCAATATTTATAGGGTGACTAGGTGTCCTGAGGTATATGAGGTTTTCAATTCCTCTTTGTTCAGGACCTTTGCTTCTCATCCAGTATGAGTTTAAGATTCAGCCACTTCCTTTGATCAGCTTTGGGATTGTTGTCTTTCCAATGTGTGAGGGCGTCTGGATGGCGCCCACTGGTTTTATGATGGAGTCTCATCTCATGATGATTATTAAATCTTCTTCATTAATTTTTGGCCATATCATGGCAAGAGCTCATTTGTCAAAAATCCATTATATTCTGGAAGGCTTGACCCTGGATGAGGATGGTCTGATGGTTTATCAGTATGAGCCGGAGATAATTCAGGCCAATATTTAGTATGAAAGCTGACATCACCCCCTTTAAGATCCTGGTGGAGGGGGACATAAGCGCAGGAGCTTAGCATGTATGCAGACAACAACTGTGCCTTGAACAACATAGGTGATGTAGTATTCAGAGCCATCCTTATACAGTGCGCAATAGGGTCCTGACCAGGAAGCGTCAACTTATTTGGACGCCCACCAAAGTGATGGTGGTAGAACATCACAATATCTTCAATATTGAACAAGGGTAGAGCTGGGATTTTGGAATAAGATCATGTAATCTTCATGATGGCGGTAGAGATAATCCCTTGGGTGGCAAGTGCTTGCAGCCTGATTATCTCATAGGCTAGTGCCCTCATTGTCAACTCAGCAGTATTGGGAGAGGCGGAGTCCAATAAATTCTGGAGCTACTAGGCAGTCAGGGATCCCTACTGTAGAGGTCTGAAATGGGGAAATTTTAATCACTTGGTGATAGATGATCTGATAGAGTAGTAAAGTGGATGACAGACAATGATTCAATCGCATGGGGTCCATGGCAGAATTTTATGGAAAATAAAAACTAGGGTGCCATTTGCACGCTCCACTGCACCATTTGTAGGAAGGTTTTAGCGCAGTGAAATGTTGGTTAGTATTAAGTATTGTGGTAAGCTCTTGGGCAACTTAGGAGGTTGTTAAATTTTTCCCACCTTTCCAGCCTTCTAGATTACCATGAATCTCTAGAGAATAATTCCTTATGGCGAGTAAATTGGATTTCAATTGACACTGATTTCGGGCTAATAACTTTTGGGGGATTTTAGGTAATTCTCCAAGTTCTGATCCATCACGATCAATCCGGGTGAATTCTTAAGATCTCATCAGGCAGAGTTACTGACAAAATGGGGGAATCTGATAGTTGATTGATGATTAACTATCAGGTGTACTTATTGGGATTGGTCAGGTTTCATCACTGACCAATTGGGAATTTAATGAGCAAGTTGCGAGGCAAGTGATGCCACCTGCAACTTCCAGATTGATCTGTTGGTTTGTGACCTGCCATAATGGGTAACAAGCCCCATTACCTAAGCAGGTCGCTCGCCAAATATGGTTGGTTTTTGGGATTGAGTAGGAAACGTTAGAAGACACGTTTTCTGACTCTGTCCGTTTTAGGCCTCAAGGATGTCTGATGAAATAATCCTAACCAGATGGAGAAGACCATGGCTGGTGAGATGTCAAAGGGAGTATAATGGCAACAGGTGCCATTTCATGGCTGAGGCACCAACTGAGGGTTGGATGTCAAATTCCCCCTATAAATTCCCCTGATAATTCAAGTTTAAAAAGGCTAACAGTTAGCAGAATTATTATTAGTTTAAGTTCTATTCATCTTCAGGAAGTTATTGCATTGTGATAAAATTGGGCAATCTTTGGTAGGATAAGATGTATAGATCAATGATCCTTAGAAGAGAAGCTGAGATTAGATTGGATTGCTGCAAACTTTGTGTTACCAGAAGAAAAAGCCGAAAACTTAGGTGTCTGAGTGTGGATCAAGTTAGGTGGATAAGGGTAGAATTCCCTACAGATGACATCAAGAGTATTTTGTGGAGAAGTACAGGTCTAGCACAGGACCAGAACAGGTTATCTATTCAACTACAATAATATTTTTCATACTATTAATAATCAACTATCAACTAGTATCAGACAACGTGAGTTTGTGCACATACCAAACCTGTGCAGTTACCCCTGGGAACTATCAATCAGTGAAGAACCCAGGATTTAACAATTGGTGCTCACTACAGGAGTAGTTGAGTAGGAAATACCAGTACAAAATGTCATACAAGGACGAGTTAATAAAACTCTGGATGAAGTTCCAACTGTCAACAAGATCGCCTTAAATTTGGCCAATTGTTGAGAATTTGCTTTGGAGGAGAGAGTTACCAAGATCAAGGAAGGAGTCGAAGATGTCTCTAATTTAAGCAATGAGTTGCTAGGTAAAGTAACGTCATTAAGGAAAAAAGAAGGAGATCTAGTTAGAGGAGTTTTATTATTGAAAACTGATTTGAGAAGAAGATCGCGTTCAATTGCGTTCATTCAGTGCAGACATATAGCATTTAATGAAGCAAGTCAAAGAATTGAAGACTTATAAATTTAAATGTGAGACCTATGTGGCGACTGATGCAAAAGAAAGGACCCTTAGCACTCCAGTTGTGAAGTTCACTATTCCGCATAATATGCTAACCACATTTGCAGCCATTTTGGAGATGACTCCCAAAATAATTCCTCAAGTCAGTTGAGTAGCCAAACCAAGAGTGGTGGCTAGAGAAACTTCGGAGGAATTTAGAGCTTTGCCAAAATTAACCACATTCCATTGAGATAAAGCCCCTGCATTTTTCTGATTGTTTGACATGACAATGTTTGGGTATGACGATTGTCAAAAAGCTTTAATGGTGATGAATTGTTTAGGCACCAACTAGCAGAATTTGGTGTTGCCCCATCTAGAGGGGGACAGCTGGTCATACTCGGAGTCCAAGGAGGCCACAATGAAAGAATTTGAAAGTCCCACACATATGTTAAAGCGCAAACAGAAATTCATGGGAATCCAATTCCAGAAGGATGAGTCCTTAGTGAGTTTCGCCATTTGATTCTACCAAGAATCGCAGATTTTGGTTGGAGCAAAAGTACTGGATGAGTGTGATATATGGATTGCATTGTAAGAGGCACTTTGGCCCTATCTCAATACACATTGAATAATGTCTTCCATGTTTGCAACTGAGATTACCACCTTGCAGATGGTGGATCATTTGAATATATTAGGAGCTACATTTGATGCCCCTCATAGAAGCTTCAAACCGAGTCCTATGCGAAATTCAAATCCTAAAAAGGGGACTGAGAGCGCTAAGGAGTCCAATAATGAAGCTGTGCCAGGAATAAGCCCAAGGAGTTCAAGAGTACTGATAAGAAAGACAAACGCAGTTTTCAGTGCGGAAGAAAGGGACACTTCACTGTTCAATGCAAGAAGCCAAAGGAACAGATTAATGTGGTCCAGGAGAAAGAGGCCAAACCCGCACAGGAGCTAGGAAAAGAGCCCACGGCCTAGCTGGAGAACAGTCTAGATCTGCAGATAAATACATCCCCCTGATATATTGAATGAAGTAATTGATATTAGTGATCTGCTTGTTGATGATAATGCGCAGGACCAAATTTAACAAGTGGTCAATTTGAATGTCAACGCAATAACCAGATCTAGAGCAAAGGGGATTGGCCCCAAAATAATTAAGGAAGTTACTTGGCTGTATGCACAACAACTAGCAGACAAGATTCCAGACATGAAGAATTTGGAAATTTTTCCAAGGTCAAATTAGATGAGGCAAACCTGTCTATCCCCCTTAGCACAATTAAGGAAGCATTTCCTGATCTATTAGTGCAAATCCTTGACACCCTCAATTTGGTAAATAATGAAACTATACACTCAATAAATGCAAAAAGTTATAATACTCAGAGTGTAAGTATATTGATATACTGGTAATCAAGCACAGTGCAGGTGATAATTAACAATGGAGCGCTTATCAACATTATCCAACCAATCTGGTGAAGAAGATGAGAATCTCGCCTGATCTGTAACACAAGAAAGAAAATGGGACAGCCAGGCCAAATACAACCATTTCCTGTGGTGCATATAGCGCTTTGCCACTCCAATTTCAGTCTTTAGTGGTATCCACCTCAGCAATAGTTTTGGCCAACTAAAACTACATTATTCTGATTGGGACGGAGTTTTTACAAAAGTACAAAGTTAAATGTAACTTCAAAGGTAATATGTTGACCATATTTGGTCAGACGTTACCACTAGTTTATCAGAGAAATGTAAAAGCTCCACTGACCAGATAGAATAATTTCATCAATCCAATCTACAATGATGGCATTGTACCTATTTGTTACCAATTGGTTGGGCGAAAACGAAGAGAAATTCCAACAGAAATCCTGGAAAATTGGGGAATTTCATTAAGGATCAAGAATTTGAGAACCATACCACTGGAACCACAGTCATTGTTGACATGGGATTGACATTGGAGATACCTGAGCTTATGTATGGAGAGGTCAGAAGCCCCTTGAAGAAGTCCAGAGTAGAGCCTTGGGTATCTCCTGGAATAATTATGCTGGTCATGGAAAAATTCAAAGTTCTCCTGATAAATCTGAATTGAAAAACGGATGAAGATTGAGAAGAATTAGATCATTGCATTTGTTCTTATGATCCCAATGGCGGAATTGAGGAAGTTCCACAATTTTGGGACCCTCAATGAGATGGGATTACTGGCAGGGGTGACTGAAAGCATCATTATATTGGTCTTTCAAGAGCGACTCGCTGATCTGATGGACAGACAGCAGGAAGATGTGAATAAATTATTTGACAAGTATTGGGAAA